AGGAACTGTATTAAAAGATCACAGCATAAGGAAGGCTGAGAACCACTGCCATAGAGGCAACACATGTTCAGACCCAAAGAGGGGTAAATGTTACTACAGTACCAAATTTGGTAGTTTATACCTGTAATGCCAATACTTCCAAGACAAAACCGTCTTGAGTTGAAGGCTAGCCCACACAGTGATTTACAGGCCTACTTGGACTACAGAGTAACTTGGTCTCTAAAAACAAAAGGTAAATTAAAACAGAAAAGTAAAGTAAGGAGGGATGGCTCAGTGGGAAAGCGCTTGCTGCGCAAGCCTGCTGCCCCGAGTTCCTCCCCAGATCCTGTGGAGGGAAGGAGAGAACTGTCTCCTCAGAGTTGTCTGACTTCAACACATTCAAGAAAATAAACCCTGTGCTGGCTTTGGCAGCAGACACTAAAACTGGAATAATAAAGGGAGGATTTGCATGGCCTCAATGCAAGATGACACCCACTGTGCAGGGTCCCCTTTAAAAACTGAACCCCAGCACAGGAAGCAGCCTACCCCACAGCTCGCAGTTGATTTATGACTAAGGGCTTTAAGCTCAACCTCCCACAAGAGAACCTGACAGTGAGGCCCTGGGTTCTGTCCCCAGCACTGCAAGGAAAAAAAGGATAACCAGTCCACAAAGGTTCAGGAGGCCCCCCTTTAGTGTGAGACACACTCACCTGATGTCCTGTGTTGGGGAGACCTCAGGTTTTACTTGCACCCTGAGGGGTACCCGCTGCTCTGCCAGCCAGGTGGCATACTTGATAGCAGCCTGTTCATCTCCACCAGCCACTGCCCGGGCAAGGCTCAGGGCCATCTCCTCTGCTGAAGGTCAGCACAGAGTAAGCAGATTAGCACCAGTTTAAGTGGGGAGGCCAGAGAGGCGTCCCTGGGTGCATCCATGTCCTCCTTCCCTAGTGAGTTCCTGTATCTTCTGCATCGGCTATTTTTAAATTCTTTTCTTTTTGTAGAGGGGTGTGGGGTGTGCTTTTCCAGTCCTCTCCACCCTGGGCTCACTGGGGTGCCCTTTTCCTTTCTTGTTCACTGAGTCTTCCATACTCCCTTCATGTATCTGACAAGCATTTGTTTTCTTTTTTTTCTTTTCTTTTTTTTTTTTTTTTGAACTGTATGGCACCTACTGGTCCAGAATGTAGACCCTATGAGTGGTTAAGGCAAATAGCACCCTTCCTATAAACTTCTAAGTTCAACAAGAAAATAGAAAATGTTAAAGTTTGACAAAATCAGATGTAGTCCATTCTAGCAATAATTGAATAAGGAGGTCAGGGGAGACCTCTACGAGTTAAGGGAAACTGAGGCCTGAATGAAGGGTTGCTGCCACTCCAATATCAAATAAGGAAAACTGTCCAAGAGGCCAGCAAGTGGGCAAAGGCCTTGGGCAAAAAGTGGTTGGATCAGAACAGAAAAGTCAAGGACTGAAGGCATGGCTCCGTGATAGAACACATTGAAGCCCCAGGTTCAATCCCCAGTAGGAGACAGAACAGAAGAGGCTGGTGGGAGTGAATGCAAGGAAATGAGAGGTCATCAAAGGCAGTCCAGAGTTCTGGGCTTGGTTCTATTAGGAGGGCTGGGCTGTGCTGCAAACAGGTCAGTAGCTCTATCGGTGTTCCCTCAAATCTGGGTGAAAGAGAGAGGGATGTATGTTCCCTCTTGTCCCACTCTGGCCAACTGACGTTTGTTTTCCTACCAGGTGCTCTAGGGTCTATGTTCTGTGTTCACTGAGTCTCTGACCCCTATTTCTGATAGGTATTCCCTCCGCCAACGGAACGAGCCAAATTGTAGTACATAGGCAGGCTTGTTGCGGTCAGCTCTTAGGCGGTTTCACCGACCTCGCAGGAGAGGGTCAGTAAAATCGTCATGCCGAAGGAGACAAAAAAGGAGGTGGGGAAGAGAGAGGGGAGAGGAAATGCAGAGAAAGAGAGAAGGGCCCAAAATGTCTGATTTGATTATGAGCCTCTGAGGGAGAGGAAGCCCATTCCCCGGCTAGAGGGCGGAGTATGCCAGCCATGCCCTGGAACTGAGAGATGCTGGGAGAACCTGGAGGCCAGGTCCGCTACGGTTAAACAGGCACCTCAGCCGCTTGTCCCGCGTCTGAATCCCAACAATTTCTGCACAGACCCGGCCTAGAGTCCACTTCCACAAGCTCCAGTCGGTGCCCACCTTTCTTGGTCTTCTCGTCCATCTGGCCTGGCTGCGCCCATCCCCTCAGAAAGGGCTGCTGCTCCCGGGAAACGCTACCTTGGGGTCGCCTGGGAGGGAGCGGGAAGACAGCAGCGAGCGATTCCGCTTTAGCCAGCCTCGCGCGTGGCCCAAGCGGTGTCGTGGGTCGCACTCGGGCAGCATCACACTGCCCAGGGCCCAAGGCCCGGCATTGGGAACCGGGGAGGCCCCGCGAGGGACACAGAAAGCGAAGGAGGCCTCGGGCTAGGCCTGCAGTAGGCGATGGGCAACCACGACCCACAAGCGCGAGACGGAGGAAGCCTAGTCCGCGCCGGCGCCCCACCGTCCGGAACCCCAGCCCAGCGGCTCGCGCTACCCGGAAAACTACGCGGGCAGCGTCCCCGGAAGTGAAAGTAGCAGCCCCGGAAGTGCAGCCGACCGAACAGAAAACTGTTCCTCACCCAAGACTTTGCAGGCTCGCCAGCTGGGTCTGGCTTCTAGACTATTCCTGGCGCTCACGCTCCACCACATGGTCTGGCGGACCAGGGACACTTGGTCCAGATGCCAGTGACCGCCCCTTGGCCAACCACCAACTCCAGCCAGCTCTTAGCTCGGGAGTGGGGGGTTGGGGTGGGGAGCGGGAGAAGCTAGAGGGTGGGGCCTAGAAGGTGCAGAGGGTGGCTTGAACTCCTAAGGAGACCTTGCTGGTGCCGCCTCTTCTTGTGCATAGCCTGCAGGCTCACCAAATCGCCAACACACCAATTGGTAACCCCGTACTTGTCCCGTTTGCAGTTAAGGAAACAGAGTGTTGGAATGTTTATGACTTGCCCAAAGCCACACTGCTCGAGTTTGAATCCAAACGTGGAAGTCGAGAGAACCCACCTGGGCACCTTGGAGACTTTTCTCTTACTTGTTCACTACTGTTCTATTTGCCGAACAAAGGCTGGGAATTCTTTTCAGCCACCACTCGTTTTCTGCTTTCTCCCACTTTCATCCCACAGACTAACAGATACAGAGGGCCCCAGGATGGACAACAGAAACTCATCCTCTCCTGTGCTCACATCGCATCCTGCCAGACCCTGGCCTTTCTCTTTTCCCTCAGCTGGTCTAGAAGAGCCTGTATCATTCTTAAAATAATAACAGGCTTGTACTCACTCTGTAGACCAGGCTGGCCTCGAATTCAAATCTGCCTGCCTCTGCCTCCCAGAGTGCTGAGATTACAGGCAAGCGCCGCTGTGCCTGGCTGTAAACCTCAAACTTAACGGCAATCCTCCTGCCTCTCTTACTGGATTTATAGGCATATAACATTACTTGTGGCTCCAATATACATGTATATATACACACGTGTATTTGTATACATACATTTTTACATTTTTATTATTAGCCGCACATTTCTGCTCCTCCCATCAAGACGGAATTCGTTTTTCTGTCCAGCACACTAGGCTGTGTGACATGCACAGCCTATGCATCAGCCTTACCACTGAAAACCCAGAGACCGCCACGTGGCGTGATGGCTGAGCCTTCGAAGGAGGCTGCAGGATTGGTCAGTAGCTGCACAGAGCCTGCTGAAGGTGCTGGCCTCAACCCACATACTTCCTACGGGCTATTGCCAGGGAGAAGCCGTAGGACCATTCTGGAAGTGTGGGGAATGATTAGGCACATTTTCCAGAAGCTTCTCAAGAAGGAGCTGTGGAAACAGCAATCTGTGCTTCTTGCAAGGTGATGATGACAGGTCCTGCTTTTTCTGAATGCTTTATCAGTGCTAGGGAGACAGCCCAGGGCTTAAAGCACTTGTACACATGAGTCGACCAGCATTCAGATCCCCAGAAACCACACAAATGCCTTGGAAGTGAAAGATGGGATCCCCACAGCAAGCTGGCTGACAAGGCTACAGGCTTTGACTGAGAGACGCTCCTCAGCCAGGTACACAGTCCCAGCACTCAGGAGGCAGAACTCTTTGAGTTTGAGGCCAGCCTGGTCTATAAGGAAGTTCCAGGATAGCCAAGGCCACACGGAGAAACCCTGTCTTTGGAAAAGGGAGAATGAGAGACAGAGACAAACACACACAGAGAGAGGGAGAGAGAGGAGACTGTCCTTAAGGAATAAGATGGAAGAGTGATTAAGGATGAGTCAAGATCTCTATCCCTAGCCTCTGCATGCACACCAACACCAACACACACACACACACACACGATATAGAAAAAAAAAGGGACTCATTGGTGTCTCATGGGTTGAGTCCTATTCTCTGCCTTTCCAGATGAACAGTCTGAGGCATACAATGGTTAAGAAATTTGTCGAGGGTTCAACAGCTGGCATGTCCTGGAAGACTGAATTTGGGGCAGCCCGGCTCAAGCGCTGAGATCTTAAGTACCACAATGCCCTTTTCTTTGTGTGATGTGACACATGTGTCAGCTGTCTCCATGGAGAACAGCCAGGGTCTGAAGAGTCAAGAAAGCAGGCATCCTGCCAACAGCTTGGAGAGCCAGATTGGCCTGCCCTGAAACCACCCTGTTCACTGACTGTCTTTATGCAATGTTCCTTCCTGGCTAAGCTGACACCCCTTTGGGCTGAGGATGGAACCCAGAACCCTGAGTTTGTTAGGTGTTCTGCTTACACCCAAAGCTACACCCCAGCTGGCAACTTGGAAATCTTCCACCTGAGACCCCGAGGTCTCTAGAAAAAAATAGCACATACAGGAACATCAGTGAGAGAGTCTTCTCACAGGCCACTTGGTAGGCACTGACATGATCTGGCTTTCATAGCTGTGTTGAAGGTAGGGAAAGTCACCAAGGATGTTAGGAGGTGGAACTCTCTGACATACAGAACTACACAGCTCTCTTTTATTAGGCACACAGTGAAAACACATACACAGCCAAACAAGAGCCATCATACCGGTATGAAGAGTCCCCAGAACAGGGCCTGAGACTTTATGGCAGGAGGACGGTCCCTGCCTGGTCCTTGCCCTCCAACCTTGGTGCGCCAGTTGAAGGCTACCAGTGTGAACTAGATCCTCATTCCACACCATTCCGTGAGTCAGGCGCCTCGCTTGTGGAGTCTCATCCTTTCGGCTTAAATCCTGGGCTAGGTCTTCAAGCAGGTTCTGCCTGGAGGCCACAGCCCAGCAGCACAATCTTCTCCTGGCCTGACTTGTGGTCCTGAGGCACAGGGTGAATGAGGACTTTGGTCTTTGGCACAGAGATGTTCCCCTTGTTTAAAGGCACACGATAGAAGGCAGCTGGGGCACTGATGAAGGAGACTGTCTTGTGAACAGAAGCCTAGTACCAGCCCAGAGAACCAACCCTGGTATGCAATGCGCCGAGGGCTGACAGCAGATGCTGGCCTGGGAGCTCATGGCACTGTGGCAACTGGACCAGCAAGGTATTTTTCTCCCCCTTGTTGTTTGCTGTTCCCAGCACCTAGAACAGGGCTTGGCACCCAGCGAGCATCACCCTGCAATGCCTGTGGGAGAATACAGGAATGCTTGGGGCACATTGGCAGTTTCTTCCTCCAAAAGGGCACTTAAGGTTTAGCTTGGCCCAAAGAGGCAGGAGAAAGCTTGTACTCAACTTACAGCTTACAGCTAAAGGGCCAGTAAGGTGGCCTAGCCATACAGTCCTAGCTCCCCTTCCTCAACCTCCTCCAGCCCTGGGCCTTCTGGGACCACCTGGTCGGTCTCCCAGCGGCCAGACTGAGGAGAAGAGATGTGGCTGTGATCCTCCCTCAACCAGGGATGGAGCAGGATGCTGGGGGCCACTAGCCGCTCTAAAGGCTCCTTCCGGAGGAGACATCGGATCAGGCAGCGAGCTGGGGCTGACAGGCCCTCTGGTAGGGCAAAGGTCCCTCTACGGATCTTGCCAAAGAGCAGTGCTGGCTCAGAGTCCTGGAAAGGGTAGTGACCAGCTAGCATGGTGAAGAGTGCCACGCCCAGGCTCCAGACATCAGCTGCTTTGCCGGAGTAGGATGGCCGGGAGCTGAGTATCTCTGGTCCCACGTAGGCAGGGCAAGCATGCTTGTCCCACAGAGAGTCATCTGGTCCAGTCACCACACAGGCATCCTCCAGGTTCTCAAGCACCAGCTTTGTCCTGGATCACAGACAGAAAGATTCAGATCCTCTGGAAAAGCAGCACTAAGCCATCTCTCCAGTCACTGTCTTTTGTTTGTTTTTTAATTGGGGGGGGGGGCGGGGTATTTTTGGGAGATGAGATTTCACTCCATTGTCAGGCTGCCTTCTAACTCACTATTGCCTCAGCCTCCTGAGGGCTGGAATTACAAGTATGGGCAAGCATGCTCAGTGAGCCTCAGTGTCTTAGTTTTTTGTTTGGTTTGGTTTTGGCTTTGATGGGTCAGGGTTTCTCTACATAGCCCTGGCTATCCTAGAGCTCACGGTGTAGATCAGGCTGGCCTCAAACCCACAGAGATTCCCTCTGCCTCTGCCTCTGCCTCTGCCTCTGCCAGGATTTAAAGGTGTGTGCTCTGAGGATTTCTTTCCCTGCCTTTCTTTTGCTACTGAGCTTTGCACATGCTAAGTACATGCTATCCTACTGAGCTATACCATAGCTCTTCCTAAGTTACTCTGCTCTTGTGGACCTCAGTTTCCCCACCTCTCAAATGTGCTTCTAGGGTCACACTCACCTCTCACAGTTGCTGAAGACAAAGCGACGCAGCTTGAGGTCTCGCAAGACAAGCCCATGCTGGTGGCAGTGTGCCACTGCAGTAGCCATCTGCCGGAAGAGTGCAACGGCCTCCGGCTCAGGGACACCGCGCCGGCTGCGCACCAAACTGTGCAAATCGCCGTGGGTCTTTGTGAAGAAGGTATAGAGGAACTGAGTGCCAAGCAGGACGTCTGTGGGACGGGCCACATGCTGGTGGGTGGGCAGACGTGCATAGGGTGCCAGCACCGACTGGGCATCGCTGGCAGGGTACACCTGGGGACAGAACCATGCGTAAGCACAGCTAGGGACCTGGGAAGCCAGGCTGGCCTAGCAAAAGGGGACAGCCAACCTGTTAGACATCCTGTGAGCGACCCACAGTGGGCCTTGCTTGGGAAGTCATTCATAGCCTGACATCAGCTGACTCTCTGAAAGTCACAGGTCAGGAGGCCCCAGGGCCACAAGCAGCACATTTGGGACTAGAGCCTATGCGCCCATCTCTGCTCTAAGCTGCCCGCTATGTGACCTTATGCCTCAGAGAGTTGAAACCAGGGTGTAACCCAAACAGAAAAACCCTTCTGGAGGCAGACCACCACCATAGCCCCCTGCTCGCACATACCCAGCTTGAAAGCCTGCCACCCCAGCTTGGTTATCTGGACTCACAGCCATTGCCCCTGTTCACCTGGTGTCCACAGTGCCGCACAAGCAAGCAAGCAAACCATGTATTCCAAAGGAATAAGAAAGTTGCTGGAGGGGAGGCAGAGGCAGGCAGATCTCTGAGAGTCCAGCCTGGTCTACAAAGTGAGTCCCAGGACAGCCAAGGCTACATAGAGAAACCTTTTCTCAAAAAACCAAGAGGAAAAAACTAAAAATGAAAAAGAAAGAAAGTTGCTAGAAACCAGAATATGTTACATTGCAGTCTTGGAGCTCAAACCCAGGGCCAGTTTTTGCTAGGAAGTGTGGGCTAGTATTTTAGAAGGAAACACCTATTTTAGAAAATGCAGGCAGGCCACTGTAGCACACTCAGGAGGCAGAGCCAGATGGATCTCTGTGAGTTTGTAGTCAGCCTGGTCTACACAGAATAAGTTCCAGGCTAGCCAGAGCTGAATAGTAAAACTATGACTCAGAAAAAAAAAAAAAAAAAATGTGTGGACACACCTGACTCAGGAGAAGTGACCTGAATGATCCAAAGATACGCATGGGAAAAGCTTCCCCATGTTCAGGGCATAAACAGTGCAAAGGTCCTGAGGCAATGGAGACCTCAGCCCGCCGGCAAAGGGCAAGCAAAGATTAGGGTGGTCAGAATGAGGAGGCAGAAAGCCATACAGGAAGGTGGTGAGGCAGCTGGGAAATGTGCTCAGAGTCTGTGAGCATTACACACACCTGGAAGGTAGGTCCAGTACTACAGAGAATGAAAGGAAAGTTCAGAAAAGGGAGGTGACTTGTTAGAAGCCACACTGGTGGCAGAGCTGAAATGCCACTTTGTTGCCTTTGACTTTAAACTCATGCATGCTGTAAAATGTGAAGCATGTGGTAAAAAACAAAAACAAAACAAACAAACAAAAAAAAGCTAGGGTATCACGGATGAAATAAACACACAGCCTGCTCTTTCTTCCTCCCCTAAAGCTTAGTTGGCCCTGCCCTGGTTTCTTTGCACATCTTTATTGGGGGGGTGGCGAGTGAGCTTTCTGAGACAAGGTTTCTCTGTGTCTCCCTGGCTGTCCTGAAACTCACTATGTAGGACAGCCTGGCCTTAAACTCACAAAGATACACTTGCCTCTGCCTCTCAAGTGCTGCAATTAAGGGTGTGTATCACTACGGTTGACCCTTTGTGCCTCCTGTGCCTGCAGCCAGGACACACTGCCTTGGACGCTCCTGCCCATGCGTCCTTCAACTCCTGACATGCACGGCCTTTCAGCATCCGCAAGGCCCTCCCAGACCTCCTCATGTTCCCCTGTATCCCTACCTGTCCATCTCCTTCTCACTTTGCTTCTCCCTCCCCACTGACAGCAGCTTTATTTTCCTAATGCTCACAATTGCCTGTTCTCTTCCAGTGTGTGCCTGTGCTGGCCAGAGGAAAGCCTCAGGTGTCATTCCTCAGTTGCCATCCAATTTTTTTTCTTAAGGTTTATTTTTAATCGTGTGTGTGTGTGTGTGTGTGTGTGTGTGTGTGTGTGTGTGTGTGTCTTATGTGTATGGGTATGTGCCCAGGAGTGCGAGTGCCTGAAGAGGCCAAAGCCCTGGATACCCCCAGAGCCATAGTAATATATGTGTTTGTGAGCTGCCTCAAAGTGAATGCTGGGAACAGAACTTGAGTCTCTGCAAGAGTTACAAGCACTCATAATCACTGAGCCATCTCCCCTGCCCTGCCCCTTCCTTCTCTCTCCCTGAGATAAAACCTCTCACTGACCTCAGAACTAGCTCACTGAAGAGGCTAGCTGGCCAACGAGTGCGCTCCAGAGGTCTGCCTGTCTCCACTTTCCCAATGCAGGATCACAAGTGTCCAAGTCCCCACCTCTCCCCTCCCCTTCCCCCTTGCCTCGGCTCTCCTGTCCTCTCCCACCCACCCGTGGATTTGAATTCTGGGGCTCACCAACTGAGCTATATCTCTACCCCGCCCCATGCTCACCTCTTTATTTTCTGTCCATGCCTCTCACTAGATTGTCAGTTGGACAGCAGTAGCATTGGTCTAGATTTGTTTTGGTTTTGAGACAAGCTCTCAGTATGTACCCCAGGCTTGCCTGAAACCCGGGGCAACCTTCCTGTCTCAGCCTCCCCAGTGCTGAGATTACAGGCGTGTGCCACCGCGCCCTGTCTGGGTCTGTTTTTCGGCCACAGCAAGTGCAGTTCGTGCACGGGATATGAAGTCCGTCTTTTGAGGAATCCAGTGATAGTCTACAAAGCTAGAATCCTCTGGGGTGCTGGAGGGGAGAGCCCACAGAGCATACCTTGCAGGTGTACTCTGTGCCTGTGGGGCAGTGCAGGGCCCGAAACGCGCAGCTGCCTTGCTCCCGTTCCAAAAGGACGTAGGGCCCCAGCCGCGTTGCCGGGGCCACAGCCGGTGATAAGTCTGAGGTAGGAGGTGGGCTGGGGGGCAGCAGGCTGGGAGGCGGCCCAGGCTCGAGCCCACCTCTCACTCGTTTTAGGACTGGACCCTCCGTGTCGACGTTGTTGTCCTCGAACTCCAACGGTTTCTTCCTGCATGAAGCACCAGCAGAAGCAACCGGAGGGGCGCCTCGCATCTAGGGAGAAGGGAAGAGGCACAGGCTGTCTTCCCTGCTAGGACCCTCCGGACAGAGAACCGTCACACTGGGGTTTCCGAAGCTCGCTAGGCACGGCGCTCTCAAATGCAAGGACTGCTAGAGAAGGAAGGAAGCCGCGACGAAGGCAAGGCTTAATAATGCAATAAGGGAGGCTGGGAATAGGGATGGACCTCTGCGCCGCAAGCACCCGGGAGGCTGAGGCAGGAGAGTGGCGAGTTTCGGGCCCGCCTGGGCTGCATCCCGGTCTGGCTGCAACCGCTCAGGCTCAGGGTGTCCCCAAACGGCGGAGCAAAGGAGCGGGAAAGTGAGAGCGTGAGCGTGAGAGTGAGCGAAAGTGTGTGTTTGAGAGAGAGAGAGAGAGAGAGAGAGAGAGAGAGAGAGAGAATATGAATACGTCGGGACTCCCAATGTCCCTCGGTCTGGCTAGGCTCGGGGAGTCTAGCCCCTCTTCGCAGCTCCCCGCCGGGTACCTTGTCTTGGGGTTCCTCTCGGGTCTCGGAGCCGCCAGCGCCCGCGCACGTGGACCGCGGCCCCCCTCGCTGAGCAGATCGCGGAGTCCCGAGCACGCCCGGGCCAGACCCAGCGTCCGCGTCCTCGGCGGCAGCCGCTTCCGCTGCTGCAGAGCCGCGGCCCGGGGAGGCAGGCTCCCATCCCCGCCCGGCTGATGTAAACCTGAGCTAATCTGATGCTGACGCCGGGCGACACCGGATTGCACCATGCGCGACCCGCCCCTGTGGCCGAGCTCGCTCCGCCCGCGGGTCACATTCCGCACCCCCCACTCCCCACCTCAGCCCCCTGAATAGCACCCGGAGCCGCTGACTCTCCCTACGGTAGTACTTTGCACCTATTTCTCCATACAAGAAATGGGAATGAGATTCCCGGGGAAAAAAAACGAACGAACAGACGCTGTTTCAAAATCGCGCTCCCACCCTGCTAAGGCCCTAAAGACCTGGGCTAGAAGCCCCACGCTCTGCATCCTGGGAACCTTCCCTTCAAAGCGACCCTTTCAAAGGTGCACCCAGCTCTGCTCAGAAAAGCCACTTCGCGCCCCGTCTGATTGGGGGCGTGGCTCTGTGAGAGCTCTAGCCTTCCACTCCTAAGGCTCTGTGAAAACCAAAGCCAAAAACAACCGAAGAAGGCAGAGCTTCAGTTCCGTTCTCTATAAAATGGATTTGGAATGGAGCTCACTTCATATGGCTGCTGTGACCGCTAGTAAGTTCGTGTATGCAAAAGTGCGTGTGAGGCATACCTAGAACCCCAGTTACTCAGAAGCCTGAGGCAGGAGGATGGCCTGTTTGACGATGTAGCTCTGGTTTGCACCCGCCTCTGTCCTGCAGTACTGGGACCCAAGGCCTTGTCAAGCTAAAAGAAATGGAAGGGCAGAAGCCGAGGAAGGGAGGAATGCTGAGGCTCAGCCACAGAACCTTTGCCTAGCATGCACCAGGCAGTGAGTTCAATCCCCAGTAACAATAGACAAACAAAATGAAGCGTGTGGGACTCAGTAAACAGGACGGAGCTGGAGGTGGAGGGAGACAGCACATGGTTCCAGCCACAGCTGCAGCTAGCCGGCGGCGAGGCTAGACAGGGTGGTGACTACCCCCGTTCCTCCACCCTGGCAAAGCCCCACAGCCCCAGTGCCTTTCTGACACTCTGATTTACGTCTGGATACTTGTGTTTGCCCATGTCAAAAACAATTCCTCCAGGAAGAGCTAGAGGGAGGCAGGGCCAGGACACCTTTGTTCCTCTGGTTCTGGAAGCCAGGACACCAGCTCTCTGGTGTCTCCTTCTCCCAACCCCCATGAACACCAGAGGATTCTGGGATCCAATCTGATCCTGTCCACTCAGTAGCTGGGGAGGAATGAATGGACGAATTTTCAGAAGGCAGGACAGGTGGAAGCCCCAGAGCTGTGAGAGACAAAGAGAGTGTTGTTTTCCCAGCACCCATCTGGCACCAGGCATGAGCGAGGTGCGCTCACTGCTTGCTTGCTCTGCCAGGAGGCCTTGTTCAAATGTTCAAGGTAACCACACTGACCACTCTCAGCCCACAGATCTTGTAAGTCAGGAAAATAAAACCAACAACCACAGTAATTTAAAGTAGATCGTAGTGCTGGGCACACACCTTTGAACCCAGCACTTGGAAGGCAGAGGCAGGCAGATGTCTGAGTTTGAGGCCAGCCTGGTCTACGGAGTGAGTTTCAGGACAGCCAGAAATATACAAAGAAACCCTGTATCAAAAAAAAAAAAAAATTAAAAAATTATTTTTGCTTGTGGCTGAAGAAAGATAAAAAGAAATTCACTTTCCTCACCTGTCATATTTCACCTATCATATTTAATATACACTGAACATATTATCTCAACAAATAATCAACAAAATAGCCAATAGAATGAAACTTTCTCGTACCAATCTCTTCAGGGTCTTTTTTTTTTTTTTTTTTTTTTTTTGCTTTTGTTTTAGATCCTGTATGGTTTAGGTTCGTTCTTACCATTACTGTTTATTTTGCTGAGGCAGCGTTATGTAGCTGGAGTTGGCCTTGGAGTTCTGACCCTCCTGCCTCTACCTCCCAAATGCTGTGGTGACAAGTGTGTTCCACGTTGTCAGTTTAACGCAGTGCTATCGCCAAGCAAGCCCTCTCCCAGCTGATTGCAGTCCCAGCTTCACTTTCCTTTTTCTCTAGTGTTTTGAGCGAGGACCTTATGCCGCCAAGGCTGACCTCAAGCTCTCAGCCCTCCTGCTTTTAACTCTCACGTGCTGGGATTCCAGGTTTGTGCCACCACGCTCAGCCTGGTTCAAAGGTCTCATTATGTAACCGAGGCTGGTGTCTAACTCTCTTCAGTGTTGAGAGTCCAGGCACCACACACCACTTCCGGCTCTCCAGTGTGTGTCTGACACCTCTTTTGAATCCAAAGGATCATGGAAGCAAAGCTATTAATGGTTCAGCCTGGTGTGGTGGCTCATGCCTGTAATCCCAGCACTTAGGAGGCCAAGACAAGAGGATTGACATAAATTCAGCCTAGGCTAGAGAGTGAGTCCTTATCTCAAAAAACAAAACAAACGTGGGCAGGCGAGATAGCTCAGAGAGGAGCCTGTCACTGTGGCTGAAAAATGTGAGTTGGATGCTCGAAACCCACCTGATGTAAGGAGAAAACTGTCATCCGAACCCTGCCCCCATATTCCCACACACATGTGCACAAAGAAGAAATTTATAAATGTGTAACATACAAACACATTGATTACTTTACTAAAAAATAAAAACTGGAAGAGAAAGTTAGAATAGGTCATTGTCTTCGGAAGCACCCGCTGTCCAGCGCCAGGACAGCAGCGCCCTGTGGAAAAACTGACACTCAGAGAGCTTGGATTCTCCTCCCACCTGAGGCTCCACTGCGCCGGCAGTACCTTGGGGAGAAAGTCTTACTTCAGAGTTTCTGTGTGTTTCACACTTCTCTCTCAAGAACCAGAGGGCAAAGCTTGGCTCGGAGGCTTCAGTGAGAACTGGATTGAGCAGGCATTGCATAATCTTGTTTTGCTCTTCTGGTATTTAATTCTATGCTGACCTCTTTCTACACCATCTTCTTTTTCTTTCTTTTTTTGTCTATAGTACCAGAAACCAAACTGGAGTTTTTCCCCAACCACTAGGCAAGACCCTGCCATTGTGCTTCATGCCTAGTCCTCTCCTCTTCCCATTTAAACAAAACAAAACAAAACAAAAGAACTCGAGACACCATCTCACTGAACTGTCCAGGCTGCCCTCTAACACAGCTGTATAGATGATGCAACCCCAGACCTTGAATGTGCTCTTCTCCTGCCTCGGCCTCCGGAGTAGCCGGGGTTATAGACACATGCCTCAGCCTCATGTAAAATGGACATTTTGTTTATTCTGTCTTAGTTTACAGGTGTATGTGTGTGTGTGCGGTGGCCACCCACAAAAGCAGCCTCTTCTTCCACCTTTCGGGTCCCGGGGATTGGATTTAGGCTGTCAGGTTAGTCGGGAGCACCTTTGCCTGCGGAGCCATCTCACCAGCCCTAGCATGGACATTTTATCTTACTATTGGTTTTTTGAAACATGATCTCATTACAACGTCGGCTGGTCTGGGCTCTGTACCCAGGCTGGCCTTAAATTCACACTGATTTACCTGCCTCTGCCTCCTGAGTGTTGGGCCTAATGAAGTTTGCCAACACACTCAGCCCTATCATCTTATTGAAGATGTGTGTGTGTGTGTGTGTGTGTGTGTGTGTGTGTGTGCGCACGCGCATGCGTGTGCCTGCTGAAAGATCAGGAAACACTTTTTTTTTTTTTTTTTTTTTTTCTGAGACAGCATTTCTCTGTGTAGCTTTGGGTGTCCTAGAACTCATTCTGTAGACCAGGCCAGCCTCGAACTCACAGAGATCCCCCTGCCTTTGCCTCCCTCAGTGCTGGGATTAAACGTGTATGCCACCACCGATTGGCCAGAAAGCACTCTTGAAGACTGGGCCATCTCTCCAGACCAAAAATAGACATTTAAAGTCACTTCAAATGGAAAACTGTTATTTGCCCTGAAAACGAGGTTGAAGGAGCTATGGTTTGCAAGTCATACGTGAACCTATGTTCACTTCCCATCCGCACATAAACTAGGTAGGTGGCACATGCCTATAATTCCAGTTCTAGGGAGGACATTGGGAAGACAAACTGGACCAGCCAGCTTGGAGAAGATGCAGGTGGCTGGGGATTCAGGGGTCTCAGCCAGCCTGTGCCCCTCTTGGGGAGCCTCCTCTTAGGGACTGGACTTGTCCCTTTCTCTGGGGTCTCCTGTGACCTCACAGATCTGTTGTGACCCACAACCTGCACAGGCTGCACTCGAGAAAAGCAGACCAGCCGCATCACGGTGGCCACGTAGAGTGATGAAATGGCCATGGGCCATACCATGGCAGGCTTCTGCTGGTCCTCTACACCCTCACCAGCCACTATGGGAGCCTGGGAGCAAACTGGTACCAGAGAGCAGAGGAAACCTGCCCAGGGATAGTCAAGAAGCCAATGAAACTTGAGCCCAGGGCTCTATGTCCCTAAACCACAAGCATCTCCCATCTCAGGAGCCTAGTGAGGTGGAGGGGATATTCCAGGGAAGCCCCTGGCCCTTTGCCCTCCTTCCCCCCGGGAGAAAGAGCTAGAAGGCAGCAGGAGGAGACTTGGTCCTGACTCTGATTTTGTCTGACCAACAACCCCTTCCTAGGCTCAGCCACACAATTACTTCTGTGGTGTGTGTGTGAGTGAGAGTGTGTGTGTATGTGTGTGTGTGTGTGTGTGTGTGTGTGTGTGTGTGTGCGCGCGCGCACCAGTCATGCTGAGTCCTCCAAATTTCTAGGAATCCTAATTCCCTTAACTTCCAGCCACATTCACCACCTGCCCCTCCTAGGACTGAATACACTGCTGAGTCATTTGACCCCTGTTCGTCTTTTCTTCCTGTCTGGAGGCCATGGGAGGCCAGAGAAGCAAAGGGATTCTGTGTGTTGGATCCTGACCAGTGCCTAGCCCTTCCTTTTCTGAGAAAAGCTGGGGGAGGGGCAACAAGTATTCAGCCAGTTGCATCAGAAAGCCTTGCACAAGACACCCTCCTGGATAGACACAGTCCTGCTACCAGCCTCTACGCCACGCTGTTGCCCTTGGACCCCAGGGAGAAGTGTAAGCTCCCCAGAAGACCCT